GGGGGGAGGGGGGAGGGCGATTTGTCTTCAAGTTTGCTTTCCAAGTCCTTCCTCTGAAATTTCTTAACGGAGTATTGCAAACGGAGGCTGAAATGCAAAGCGGGGGGGGGAAGCAAAGAAACAAAAGCGAAGCCAAGGGCTACAGGCCTGGGGCCAGGAGCCCGGCAAGGAGGGACCGCACAGAAAGTGAAGTTGAGCGCCCGGACTCTAAGAGGCACAAAGCGGGCAGCTTATTAGCTGCAGGCTCCGGCCGCGCAGCCTGCGAACACGTGCACCGGAGGCCCTGGGGCAGCAGACCCAGGGTCTGGAGGCGGCGGGCAGCCAGGGGCCTCCACTGCTGCCTCCACGCCCATCTAGCCCCGCCGCGGGGTGATGGTTCCCTGAGCCCGCCAGTAGGTGAAAAAGGAAGTGAGGGGTCTGGAAAACTCGGCTGGCTAACCTCGTGCATTCTTATTTTCACCGCACATACCCGGAGCGCGGGTCCTAAAATTCATTCTGTGTCCACAAGCTTAACATTTTCTACTTTGGACGATTTGTGCAAATGAGTCGTCCCCCCCCGCCCCGCCCGCAATTCTGGGCACCCGGTGTGCGCCAGGCGGCGGCCACGGTTATTCATTATTAATGACGCTGCTTGCCCGTATCATTATGATGATAACTATTACTATTGTTGTGATTTCGGGCTCTGAGGCGAGAGCTGCTGGAGGCGAGGCGCGGAGGGGGAGCTCCGGGCTGCGAAGCTGCCTGGCAAACCTACCGCGGCCTCCGAGTCTGCGCTTTGCGCGGGGATGAGGGCTTGGAAGAAGTGAACCACAAGACCCTGCGCAAACTTGCACTTCCCACCTCTTCGGCCTTGCCCCGAAGCCCGAAAGGGAGCACTACCTTTTCCTTCCTACCAAAAAATGCCTGCCCGGAAAACAAGCGAAAACCACCCTGCTCCGCTCCCAGGCGCACGGGGGTGTCGGCCGCGCGCCCGGCAGCTTCTTCACGGCCCTGGCCAGGAGCATTTTAAAAGTCAAAATGAAGAACAAAGACTTAAGGATTGATGGGGTAGGGGGGAGAAAAAGGGAAATCTGCCTAACCGTACGTTCCCCCCACCCCCACCCTCGGCAAAGCTCGTCCCTCCCTGGCCGAGAAACACCGGGCCGGGGGTGGGAGAGGGCTCTGGTACAGGTTCAAGTTCGCTGAGCTTTCTTGATCTTGTTCTGCCTCCTAGCGACCAAATGGTTCTTTCAGCCCAAGTAAGGGGGTGGGGGGTCCTGAGGGCCCGGACGGCTCCCGCCTCCAGGGCGTACCCAGATGAGAAAAAAGAGCGATCCCGAACCTTCCCAACACTGGCCCCCCAACCCTGCGCCCGCACCTGGACGGGGCTTGGGGGGCTAACCCTCCCCCCTGGTGGTGTCCCGAAGTGGACCCAGAGGGAGGAGGGGAGGAGGGACCATCTAGGACTGCGCGCCCCGGTTGGTCCTCTGAGCCCCCACTGCATCCTTCCGAACGGCCCGGCTTTCCCGAGTCCTGCGAACACTGCCTGCCCTTCCTTCCCGCCGGTACCTGGCCGGACTGTAACTTCACACCGCCGAGCGCCGAGTCTGCTCCGCATCCGGCGCGGCCGGGGGAGTGGGGGGCGGGGGAGAGCGGCGAGGGAGGGATGCGCGGGGGTGGGGAGAGGGAGGGCCCCGCAACGTGCCGGGGCGGGGGAGCTTCCGAAGTGTGTGACAAGTTCCAGGGCCCAGTGAAAAAATTCAATTCCCTGCGCGTACCCCCCCCCCTTTAAAAAATGTTTAAAAGCTGGTTTAGGTGGCCCTTTAAACTTACATCAAAAATTAAGAGTCATAAATGCCGAAGGGGAATCTGATGCAGACCCTCTCGGCTTTGTTTTCCTCACTCTCAAACTTTCCTAAGTGCCCACTGCCAGCCTTTCCAGGAACACCTCAACTGAAGACGGCCGCCGCTGCCGCCGCCACCACTACCCCGCCACTAGACGCGAGGACCTCCGACCGAGCCAGACTCGGGGTAGAGGACAACCCAAGGGTGGGGCGCGCAGGGCCCTGGGATCCGGCGCCCCCGAAGGGTTTTCTCCAACACACCCCACCGCGGCCCCCGCCCCCGCGCCCCAGCCCCAGCCCGGCCCCAGCCCCAACCTGGCCTGGCCGCGCCCGGGGTCGCAGTAGGCTGGGGGCCAGACAGAGTGGGAGGGGGGCAGGGAAAGCACGTGGTGACCTCCCCGCGGTCTGGACTTACGGACATGAGAAGTCGGAGAGAGTGCCCGGGGCAGAGCGGAGGGGGCGGGCAGAGCGGAGGGGGCGAACAGAGCGCGCTTTTACAGTTGCTTTGCAAAATAAAAATGCTTTGCAAAATCGAGTTGCACCGATTTCGTAGTGTGGGAGGTCAGGAGGAGAGCGTGGCACTGTGCTGGGGGGCAGACGGGGACCGCAGGCCGGACTGGCTCGGCGAAACAGCGCGGCCTTCCGCGGTGCCCGGCGGGTGGGCGGCGGGCGGCGGGTGGGCTATCCCGGGCCGGGCTAGGGCGCGGCGAGGTCGGGCGAGGCCCGGCCTCGGCCGCCGCCTGCTCCCGGGCTGCCGCGCGGCGCTCGGTCCTCAGTCTGTTTGTTGGCAGGAGGTTCCCGCACACGCGGTGCTTGTAAACATTCAGACACGAGATTTTTCCCAATCAAAATCCACTTCCACTTTTTTTGAAAATCTTCCAAAAAATAGTAAGAGGAGGGAGTTCCTCGCTCCCTCTCTGTGCCGCCGGCGCTCTAAGTTTGCAACTGAAGAGGTTTTGGGGAAGGGGGTGAGTGTTAATTTTTTTTTCCTCTGAATTAGAGATTATGAGATTTTTGCGGGGGGGGGGGAGTTGGGGGAGTCGAAGAGGAAAGCGGTGAAGAAAAGGACTGGCGGAGCGTTTGGCTTGTTTAGGGGCAAGATTAACTGTAGGTTGTCTTGCCTTATTTATAATTTTATTTTTCTTTATTCATTCTGCAAGTCTTCTGGCCGCCTCTAAGGTTCGGCCGGGAGGGGCAGGCAGAGGCTCCCTCCCTCCTGCTCCCGCGGGTCCCCGGCCACCTCCTCCCCCGGCCCTGGCTCCTGCCCTTCCGCGGCGGCGGCGGCGGCGCAGGAGGGCAAGCGCGAGGAGCCGGCACAAAAGGCTGCGGGACAAACACCCACCTCGAGCCGGAACAAAAGGCGGCAGCGCCGGCTGCGTCCAGCGTCCTTCCCGGTCAGCCGGCGCTCCCTGCCGCCACAGCCCCTCTCCCGCCTCGGCAGTACCAGAGGGCCCCTTCCTTCCACGGTCCCGCGTTCTCACTATTGTGGCGATGACTACTTCCCTCCCGCTTCCCATTTGACTGTGAGCGCGCTGGGGTCCAAGGGCCAGTCTCACCTCTTTTCTCCCTAGGAATTGTTTTTTAGACTTGGACGCTTTCCTTCCCACTCCCCTCCATTTCCCTACAGTGAGTGGAAGCAACCCCTCTTTCCGCACCCCCCCCCCGGGTTTGCAGTGAGTTGTTCGCATCCTTAGCATTGTTCATTATGTTGCAAAACTGGAGGGGGGGGTCATTGCATTCCTTTTCGAAAAGAGAAATCAAGCCGCCTCAGAAAGGAGGAAAGAGGGGGCGTCAAATGTTTGTAAAATTAAATAAAATTAAAAGGTGCGTTTATCTCAAAAGTGCATAGTCGGCTGCGAACAAGAGGGGATGAGGGGCTCTTTACCCCCTTTAATCTCTTTTATCTCGACTCTCGGATGTTTTTCAAGTGAAAAAAAAAATTTAAATGCATGCACACACCCCTTTCTCCCCCCTCGCTCTTGCTTTTAGTCCTGCGCGCTCTCGTGATTATTAATAATTATTATTACTATTATTGGGTTACTTACGCGAGAATTCCCGTTTGCTTAAGTGCTGGGGTTTGCCTTGCTTGCGGCGAGACATGGTGGACTGCGGGGCGGGCGGCGGCGGCGGCGGCAGCGGGTGGACGACGGCTCGGTTCACATCGGGAGAGCCGGGTTAGAAAGAAGGAGACTCCAGAGAAAATATCTTCATCAGTGCCTTTTGACATCCAAAATAAATTAGAAATAATACAAAGATGGCGCAGGGAAGATGAATTGTGGGAGAGCCGTCATGGCTTTTTTTTTTTTTTAGAAAAAAAAGAGAGAGAGAAGAGAGATAGAGGGAGAGAGAGAGAGAGAGAGAGAGAGAGAGAGAGAGAGAGAGATGAAAAAAATGGCAAAAGCCCCCCTGAGCTGCAAGTTCAAGTGCGGACGTGACGTCCCTGCGAACTTGAACGTCAGGAGTCTGGATGGACAGAGACACACAAAACATGGGCAGGGCGAGCAGGAGAGAAGGGGAGGAGGGAAGGGGAAGCTAACACCAATGGACACACATCAGGGGCTGGACATGAAAAAGAGACCAGGACAAGCCAATGGCCAGTGTGGGGCGGGGGAGGTGCGGGGCGGGGGGCTCCGCAGACGCCCGGCGCGGCCCCTGGGGGAGGGGCGGGTGGAGGGGGGAGGTCTGGGGCCGCGGGCTCACCAGTGGCCGCAGCGAGCGCCGCGGCGGTGGCGTGGCCCGGAGAGAAGAAAAGGGAGGAGGGGGTGGGGGGGAGCAAGACTTGCACCGTGCTCCCCCCCCAACGCGCTCGCGGACCCTAAAATGAAAGCTTACTTAAGGGGGGGCAAGAGTGCCACGGGAGGCTGCAGCCCAGGGGGCCCGGGAAGCGCGGGCAGAGGGAGCCAGGTAGAGTTGCTCCCGGACACCCTCCTCCGTGCGCACACCCACTTCCCCTCCCGCCGCCGCCTTCCTTCGCCGCGCTCGCTCCCCGCCTGCGGACGCCTGGGGCCGAAGTGAAAGCCCCGAGCCCGCGGCAGCGCTCGGGAAACTTTGCCGAGGAGAGGAGAGAAAAGAAAAATCCCCCGAAGTTAAGAGCTGAACCTCCAAGTTACAGCTCCGCAGCGGGCGAGGGGAGGGGAAGGCGGGCGGGAGCACGCGTCGAAGCGGGATCCAGCCCAAGTTCGGAGGTTGCGGGTCCGGAAGGGCAGCACCCGGGCCTCCAGGACCTGGGCGGCCTGAAGGGAGGGGGTTGGGTCGAGGCCGACAGGCTGGGGCCCCAGGGCCGGGGAGGGCGCCCCCAAGGCCGAGCCAGGAATCGGGGAGCTGAGCACCTCAACCAGCGACTGGGTCTGAATGCAACTGGAAGCCCCGAGTCCCTAGTTCCCAAGGGTCGCAGAGAGGGAGAGGGGCGGAGGGATAAAGACTAAAAGACCCGGGGGCCGGAGTCAGGGCGCTTTCCAGCCCGGGAAGGGGAGCACTGGGGCCCGGGGCGAGGGAGGCTCGAAGGCGTCCACCGCTGAGCAGCCAAGGACCGGAGGACAAAGCACGGGCAGTCCCCGGAGTCCTGATCCCTCGGAACGCGATCCCGGTGCCCGGGAGGTCCCTGGGCTGGGTCCCGGAGAGGGGCACACCCCTCCCGTTCCAGAGCAACTGCGAAAACACGGAGGGATGCAAAGAAATGTCTCTTACGGGCACAGCACAACTGTTCCTGTGCTGTTACCGGAAAGAGAAAATGGGGAAAGGACAGGGAGCGGCCAGCTCGCCGGAGCAGCGGGGAGGCCACGGTGGCGAGATGACCGCCCCGGGTCAGCGTCGCGCTCCCCGGGCGCCGGAGGCCACCGCGCACCAGCCAGAGCCCGCGGCCCCGTCCCGCCTTTCTGCAGACGTTGCCTGGAAATTAGGGGAGACCTGTTGGAAATAAACCCCTGTCTCTTTAATGCACACACGCACACACGCGCGCGCTACCGCTGTCAAAAAGCGGGCTTCACTCTGGCGTGGGATACTTTCAGTTTTACGTAAAATGTACAGCAACAGCACCCCCTGCGATTGGAAAGTTTATTCAGAAACGTGCTTGCAAAGTCCCCCGGCGTCTCCCGCCTCCCAGCCTCCCTGCCTGCCTACACCACCCAGCCGCCGCCGCCGCCGGGGAGATCGCGCTCCGATTCCAAATCAGGAAGGGCCTGGAGGGGAGAGAAAATGGACTCGAGTCCTAGGGCGGCGCGAGGGTGCAGGGTGGACACCGGTGGCCGCGGCCCGCGAGACCCCGAGCTGCAGGTGGAGGCGTGTGAGTTGTGTCCTCGGAGCCAGGAGCCTTCCCTCTCTGTCCTTTGAGCGGCTCCACGTCCCCTCGCGTCTTCTCGTCCCCCTCCTCAGTCTCAGAGGGTCATTTCTGTAAACGCACCCACCCGGCGGGGGACTTTATTGTTTCCAGCCAGGGCCTTGGGCTTGCACACGTTCCCCTTCTCCCAGCTTCGCCGGCGAGCGGCTGTTTATTCCTGCGTCCTCTTAGGAAAGTTTCGAACCTATTAGGAAATAACTGGCTGCCTTAGCTCGGCGAAGCTTCGGGGCCCTCTAAAGAAGAAAAGGTTTTGATGCCCAACATCAGGAGAGGTGTGGGCTGGACTGGGTCCGGGTAAATGGGAGTGGTGGTGGCGGTGGTGGCGGCGGGTGTTATTGTTTCCCTCCAGTTCAGGGAGGGGACTTCAAATTGTTTAAGAAGCAGGAAGATTCACTGGCAGTAAAGCTCTGTAGCATGTGCGTGACACCATTTCCCCTTTTCACTGAGTTCTTCCGAGCAGGTCAGCATCTGTCTCTCTTCCACTACTGTCTGTACTTTGTCTTGTTAAACCAGCCGCGGAGCCACCGAATGAATGTCACTGCGGGGGGAGGAGGGAGGCTGGACCTCGAGGTGGCCCGCTGGAGGGAAGGGGAGGAGAGGAGAAGAAAGTGCCACTAGGAGGCCTGCGAAAAATAAATAAATTAAATAAAAGCCCCCTTCAGGTAACAATGGTGAGCCAGGTTCTTTCAGAACCTAGCTTTGCAGATTTGAATCTTGTTCCCGTCCATCCATAAAAGTCCATACAGAGAGAAGATATACAAATGGGTGAATTGTGTTGTGGAAATACAGACTGTATGTGTGTGATTTATATATAATGGTGTGTAAAAAGTAATGACTTTATTACCTCTGAAAGGTTCTGTGGTTCACATTTAACAATCTTCTGAATTACAATTCATTACACAATTGTGTGCTCTTTAAAACCGGCACCCTATCAGGGCCGCTATCTGTGCTTATTTCCAATAAATAACTGGCAACGTTTTATTGATTTTCTTTTTTAAAAAAAATCATAGGAAATTAAGCACTTAGTTACAAGTAGGTCTGCTGTGCTCCTGCACTTGTTTCAGATTCCAGGGGGTCCCTTCCAAAACCACATCTTAAAACGTACATTAAAAAGCCAGCATCGCAGCTGCTTTCCCTGGGTGCCAGTGGAGAGGTAAGCAGGGACGTTTCCACCATTAACATATATTTGATTTCACCATCATAAAATGCCCAGGTTGAAATAACTGCCCTCCGCTCCCGCCCCTCCCCCAGCCAGCTTTCACCCGGTCTGGAAAGCCAGGTCCGCGTCGGCCTCTGGCCGCTCCTCCGGCCGACCCCCTCCCGAGTCCCCGGGGCTCTCTGTACGGGCGACGCCCCCTCCTCTCCGCTGTCGGAGGCTCACTACCGAGCCCCAAAGTGGGGGAGGGGACGGGCTCGTACCGTGTGTTTCAAGAAGTAAAAAGGTGCTGTTTTAGGAGATTTTAAAATATTACATAAGTATTGATTGATGATGCAGGTGGTTTTGCAGAGGGAGGTGAAAGATCACTTTAAACGCGCACACTTGGATACACAATAAGTATATTTACCTTTCCAGGAGTGGCTTTTAGAAAGTAATAAATTATGACAACGTTAAAATTATTTTCTGGCCGGTCAGTTAACTTGGTTTGGGGCTGTGGGCCCTTCACTGCTCCGAAGGCAGAGGGTAATTAGGCTGGGGGGGGGGCTCCTTCCCAAACCTTTGGTGACGACACTGCCCGTAAACTCCAGGCCAGCAGGCGACCCCTCCCCTCCTCCTCCCCCTTTCTATCCTGCCCGAGGAGGAGACTCCCCAGTACTTCCTGCAGTATATATTCTGCCTCTGATCTCCGTACTTAATAACCAAGTCCTGGTTTATGCTTTATAATGTGTTGACAAGTTTTCTAACAGACTTTCTGAAATAATGCACGTATATTCACGTCGGTTAGAAACCCACCGTATTTTTAGAGTCGAGTAGATCTATACCCTAATGCAGTGAGAGGGTGTAAATCATAGAGGATTTCATAGTCCTTTCAGTAGTTTTCGGTATGAAGTACGAGCCGCGTGGCCTCCAGACGTAACCTTTTAGAAAAAAAGACAGTGCTTTTATTTTATGGTGTAAAATGCTTTTAGCTCTAGGGCTCTGAACGTGAATGTGGTCAGCAAACAACTCGAAGAAGGAGTCTTAATACAGTCCCAGCCCTCCTGCGAGGATCGCCTGGCCGGGGACTCGGGCTGAGCTGGAGGATGAAGGGTTAAAAGGCCTATCTCGATGGAAACTACAAAATTAAAGTAAAATATTCACCGTCTGCTTTTAGGGGGATTTTTATAGACTTAAAGATAAATAAATGAATGACTAAAAATACAGTCAATCCCACCTTGCTTTTTACTTCATCCTCTTTCTTTCTTTCTTTCTTTCCCATTATTTTTTTCCCTAATCAGATCAGAAAATAGAAAATGGGTAGACATTTTCATAAAAATAAAGCTTAGTTTTGGATTTTATGTTTGGCTTAGGTTTTGAATCTGGAGCTGTTGGGGGTGGTGCTGGGGTGTTGTTAGACAATGGAAAATTAATTTAAAAGGGTGAGAGAGACTGTGTTTGAGGAAGGGGATGGGCTTCTTCCACCTCTGCTCCCTGTGTGACCTAGAGCCTGGGGTGGAGGAGGCCCCTGGAGGGGGCAGTGTCTACACCTCCTGCAAAGGCGTAGACTTCTGCCAGGGGGCTCCTGGGAGAACCATGAGTCAGTGCGGCATCTTTTCCCAGAGTCGTCCTGGGCCTTTAGAGGGCTGGTGGGCTGCTTCATACACCTGGATGGACCCATCCAAAAGAAAAGAGAACAGGATGAAAGGAAGGAAGATGAATTACTTGCCTCTAGACCAGGCTGCTGTGTGCTGAGTCAATATTGCATGGGAAGGAGAGGAGCAGTAGCCTCACCATGTAAGTAAGAGGCCCCTTGGAAGGGACATGGAAATCTGATTAGATATTTCCTGGTGAATGCTTAACTTAGCTTCCTAACATTGACATCAAAGACAAAGATGCTGGGCAATGCTGCCACCCCAGTGAATGTACTGAACTAGTGCAGAGCTGGGCACACAGTACATTCTCACTAAATGGTCTTTGAGTGAATGAACTAATAGATCCTATCACCACATTCATAAAGCATAACCATCCAAATTGTATTCATTTCCCCAGAAACCAGTGAGGCTTTGATCAGGCAACCCTACTGTGAGAGTACAT